GTAGTTCAGTTCACTGGATGGGTTATATGCAAAATGGCATTTCACAAGTGATACACAGGTATCCTGGGAGCAGGGCAGAAGTGACAATACTGCAGTTCACGGTAGTACTCTGCTGCGAGCATAATTAGCTAACTTAAAAGTTTACTTCTGAGTATTTGGAGGCACTGGCAAGTATGTATTTGTGACTGTCTATGTAAAAGAAGTAGTTGCATGCTTACCTTTTGTAGTACTTTAGAAAGCAATTCTGCGTATTGATGTGCCCCCCCCCCCCCCATGTTTTAGTCAACAGTGATTGCTGAGCAGTTTCTTTTAGTAATGTTCTATGCCTTTCTTTTAACACAACAGGTCTGTTTTCAATATTTTCAGATTGGTTTTTTGGCTGTTAATCTTTGCATTTTTACTCTCTATTATTTGCTTGCTGGCTTCAAATTTTTTTATCTTTCTTTAAAATCTAGAGGAATGCTTTGAAGTACTTTCTCTCCATGCCTTCTGTCAATTCCATTTAAGTTTTTTAGTGGTGGGTTAGGTTTAACATAGGAAATAAATACACCCATCTACTGCAAACATCACCCTAAAACTCTTGAACTGCTTTTGTTTAAGCTAAAAGCAAACAACCCCTTGCCTCTGGCCTGAAACAAAGCATAGTGAGCTTCAAACCCAAAGTAAATAACTTTGCAAAGTCATAAACAATTAAAAAATGGATGTATTGAATTCTTCTGTAGTGCCACAGTGAGTGGTGCTCACGATAGCAGTAGTTTTTAATACCACTTTTGGTTGAGTGTTTTGGCTGACAGAAAACTGAGCATATGGTATTCCTCTTTAAGACCATAATGACAGTGGGCTAACAGCTGTGAATGCTATTGGTGGTTAGCATATGAGACCTGGGTTTGATTCTTGTCCAGTGTACATACTCTAGGGTTTGTGTTTGCATGGCTTACACCAGATTTGTAGATGTTTTAATATGCTAGGGAGACAAGCTACATGTTTGGTGGGATATTGGTGGTTAGAGTGGTTAAGAACGAGGAACCAGAAGGAATACGACCTACAAAAACTTTTGCTGGAGAATAAAAATCCAGTTGTGTAGAGCTAGGACAGGATCAGGCGGGTTTTGAGTAGGAAGAGCACAGAAACCTGCTGCTGTTGTGTGTCAGGGTTAAACATTCCTCTTCCAAATGTACATCACCGACTTGCCAAAGTGGAACCCTAGTGTCTGCATAGTGTATTATGAATTACTTGTGTACATCTAATCTGTATCATTTGATACAAATCCCAAGTTCTGTGATGGAACTGATGGTTATCATCAGCAAGAGGCAATTAGCACATGCAAACTGCTGCACAAATGTATAGCTAAACATTGTGAGACCTTTGCAAAGTACGAAAGAACATCCCTTTGGGGGACTTTGAATTGAATTAGTGTCGAAGCTAGGCCAGTGGTCAGTTAATTGACCGCAGTGGTCTGTAAAATTAAAGGAACTGTTTCCCAGCTCTCCTGTGTTATAGATGCTAGTTACTTCATTAATCTGTCTTCTTGCAGCCTCTCACCATGTTTTGCAAACACTGAAAATGCTTTTGTGGATAATTTTTTTTTTTTTACTTTTTAATTATTTAGTCTCCCCTCCTCCTTCGAACAGCTTCCCCCTAGATGACATTTTTCCAGCTTTCTTGCATCTTGCTTAATCATGTGTTGATTCAGAGCAGTCAGACAGACGCAAAACTTCCTAGTATGGTAGAATATCTCTTTCTGTACTTGTTTTCCACACCTGGTCAGTTACACATGTGGCAGAAGGTCATTCATGTGCCAGACCAGACATCTCTCTTAAGAAACATAGAGGGGAGACAATAAGTAGCTTTTGCTCTGGATCAATCTCACTGCTATTGGCAGGAGTCAAACTTCTCTCAGGGTCGTTAATGTTTCTTGAGAAATTATTTGCAAGTTCCCTTGAAAAATGTCCCAAGGTTACTCCAAGGATTGAAATCTTCCATCTGCTTCTACTGTACAATCTTCCACTGTATTTGGTGAGATGTGACCCTCTGTTGTCATACATACTCAACACTTACAAATTCTGCCTTCTTAAATTTTCTTCTAATGCCCTATAACCTGTCATCTGGCATTTGCACTTGCCTCTCAATTAAGTATTGTATCATCTGTATTCATCCTTCCTCCGACTCCTTTATTCTTGCTGACTGTCTTTCCTTCTTTCATCTATAGTTATTTTCGGCTGTGTTCCCACCCCTGTATCCAAGCCTTCCTGCTTCTCCCATGGCCATGGATTCCTTGCACAGACCCTGGCCATCTGTTCCTCATCGTTTGCATCCTTGTCTTATGTTTGGTTTTTTTTCGTATCTCATCTCCTTCTGCTATTCCTTTCCTTATCCTCATCTTTTATTTGTTGTCATGGGAATACCCACTGTGACTGCTAAATAATACACAAAGAGCCGTGGTTTCATTTTATTTTGTAAATTCTTGATTGTGAAGACAGAATGAAAAAAAAAAAAAAAGGCAAAAACAAAATCCAAAACCAAACCCAAGAAATTAAAATCTGTGAGAGAAGAAAGCAAAATCTTGAATAAAATTGTATAAAAATCATCATTGGTTTTAGACAGAGGAAGATCTTTTAATCTTCTAACCTCGTGGTATGGCAACCTTGCATGTTATGTAGGTCAAATCTAAGAAATTTCTGTAGTTCTCAGTGTTTGTCATTACTGTCTCTTTCATGATTAAATGCTGTGGAATATAGAGGACCAAGAAAATAGTAAGATGCTGTACTGGGAAACATGCTTCCAAGGTTTTATTGCAACTCCCTGAGAGCTACTTCTATGCTTCCATCTTAGAGAATGCAGAAATGTTCCTAAAGAACCTCATGAACATGAAAAACAGAGAAAGCAACACCTTTATGGCCTCTCTGTTGCAGAAAGCATTGGCTTATTCTTTGCACTTGTGGTATATGGGCCTAGATAAGATCCTTGGCTTCTCTGCTTCCTCTGTGAGTTTTGTTCCAGAAAAATTCTTCGTTCAGAGATACTGAATGATGTATGCCCTGGTGTTGGTCTTTGCTGGGCTTCATGAACTGCAAACTACACCCAAATACTTGTCCTCTTCTGAACTGTATACTTCTGTTCAGTATGGCATAATGTGGGGACTAATACACTTAACCTTATATGAATTTTATGGAAAGCCCAGAAAGAGTACTATTTAACTATACACCAAAATTAAGATGTTGGTGGACTTCAAGCCACATACTGAAATCCACACTGCTTCTGTGGTTACTTGCACTGAAAGCAATGAGTAAACAGCTGGACGTATTTTTCCCCAGATCATATATAGCTTACCATTAGTGTAATTTCTATATAAATTGAAGAAAAACTAAAACATTAGTTTTGAAAGGAGACCTTCATGTCTGTGCATATTCACGTGTGCATGAACACATACTTATCCAGAAAGAGTAAGTAATTTTTAAAAGTTGGGCTATAAAAGGAACCCCTAAACCCGGTGAGCTGCAATTGGGATGGGTCCTAATCTATATGGACCACCAGTACACAGTTTATTTTTACCGTTATGGCTGATCTGTAAGACTTGGCAGTAAGCTCTGCCTGATATTTATCATGCATTTACATTTAATATGCATTTCTGAAAATACAGCCCGAATGTGAACTTAAACGGAAATTGAAAAGTGATTATAGCTCCAAAACAGCTCTGTTTGCATTGTATGATGTGGTCTTGGTGTTTCAACTGCACAAGAATATAAATGATATGATTAAATTATCGAGGCTAGGGATTGCAAGAAATGTCTAGGAATGCTTTTCCATTCAGTGGGATCCTCAGTGAGAGAGGGAATATAGAAGTGGAGGCTTCATGTGAGGGTTTTGAGGGGAAGGTGGAATGAAACCTGGGCTCTGACAGTCACTTTCATTGTCTTTGCAATTAGTCTGATATACTAGTTTTCTACCTGACTGTCGCTCAGAACATCTTAAAGTTAAACCAAAGAATGAGTACTTACAAAGCATACTTTTGTTTCTTTCTTTTTTTCTTTTTGTTTTGGTGTTGGTTTGAAATGTAGTAACTAGTTTCCAAACTATATTTTGTTAGAATTTTTTTTTGTGTTCTCATTCATCGCATTTAATATTTCAAGGTGCTTTGGCTAATGCTGAGTATTCTGTCCCTGAGGGGTGAGTCATAATTCCTGCTCAGCTTGAGGGTTTCCAAAGTGCGTCTGGAAAACTTCCAAATAAACTGGAAGGGCCTGGTTCAAGATGGGTGGCAGGGTAATGGAGAGAAGTCTCTCTTGAGTGATTCCTCCTGGAGTAACAGGAAAGTGCAGGGAGTATTCACACCAGCCCTGTGAGATTCGACTGCTGTGAGATTCCTCTGCCTCAGGCATGAAGGAAGGGAACTATGAAGTCTGGCAGTGTGAGTGCAGCACACAAAAGGGGGGCTGTGGCTTTACACGCCTTTGAGCTATAGAGGCTTGTATTCACCAGTATACAAAAGGAATTGGGGCCGTGCCAATGGTATACCAGACGTTGGGAAGACTGGTGTCAGCAGCTGAGCAGGTGGATCTGCTATAGCTTTTGTCACTGCTTCCATTGAATAAGAAGAGCTGGAAAAGGACGAAAGGAAATCATCTAATCCAAAGCATCCCTGTCATGGAGTCCTTTGCACAGAGATGCCAGATTATGGTATGAAATAGGATTTTGGTCCCATGCTGAACATGCAGTACATAACAAGATTATGTGCCACGGGAGTGAAAATTTCTTAGACTTTAAGTTGCCTCCCATAGTTCTTTTCTGTCATTCAGAGCCTCAGACTTTTATTTGGGTGCTTTTGTACTTACTTTGTGTTTATTTTTATTACATGAGTTATCTATATATATAAATTTATATACTTCAAAGTGTATGTCCACCTGTTTGTTTAAATATATTTCTATGTATACACATTTTATAAATATGTTTAATATACGTTACTGAAATAGGTTAATTTTGTTCTTTGTTTCCTTTATCAGTTTGCTGAAAGCAGTCAGAAGAAAGAGGCTTTACAAAAAAGCATTGAGAAATCAAAAATTGGACGTGAAGATACTGTAAGTTGCTCTGGGGGGAGGCACTCCTACCAGGAAATAGGGCTACAAGTATGCACGGTTTGTAAATACGAAGTAGTAGATGGAAATCCATTAAGAATTCTAAATACTGGACATGAGAAAGAGACAGAAAAAAATCAGATATTAGATTATTCCTTAGTTGGTCATGCACTAATGAGTAAAATATTGACAACTGGCTGCTCCAAGGCTGAGAAGATGTGTGACTGCCTGAAGTCTGGTAATCTTCTGGGCTTTTTCAGATTTAAAGATATCTTAAAACTTAAACTACCCAGAGGTATGTCCAAAGTTGCCAATGGTTGCTGAACTGCCAGATCTAGTAACTGCAAACTTAAGTGTTAGGCTCTTACTTTTTTAATCTTATTTATAATTTAGATTTCAAAAGTACTGTTCTGAGCAGCCATGTAAGCTTGGTGCTCTTTGCGTGCTGAAACTGTTAACACTGCAAAATAATATTTAGGCTTCATATTTACTGTACATATGAAGTAGCACATTATTTAGAGATACTTCATGTGGTATTCTAAGTTGCTAATTTGTTTTGAGATGCTCAGTCTAAAGCGGTTTAAACCTCCAATAAATAAATGCGTAAACAGGGATGGCCAGAAACTTTCAGGTGGAATCAAATTTTGTAGGAAAGTGCCAAATCTTAGAATGCAAAATATTTTATAGTAACCCTCTGGGTTTGACTGTAGTCAGGGAATCATGGGCAGGTTTCTCACGCAGTTGTGCTTGTCAGGTTTCCAAATGGAATGTTCGAGACCTGCACTTCACCACGTGGCCTGCCCTAGTCCCAAGAAGCTATTGGCCCTGGAAATCCTGTTCTTGGCTGATGCTTCCAACAGTCTGATTCCAGATTATACATTAGGAACAGTCCCAAGAAATCTAGATCATGATGTAGATCTCTGAGCAATTGGCCTCCATGCTCCAGCATCTAGAAGCTTTTGATTTCCAATCTGCATTTTCAGAACATTCTCAACCTAGACTGTTCAAACTGTCGGCAAAAGCACTAGGAATATGGAGGTTTGGGGAAAAATAAAAAAAAAAAAACAAACCAAAACAAAAAAAAACCCTCACACTGCTGGACTGCTGTGGAAATTGCCATTGACTAAAAACCTGATGGTTTACAAACTCGCGCTATCTGGCTTTTTTAGGCTACCCAGTGGCCTAGCATGAGTTCGTTGAATATCAGCCAGTTACAGTGTTTGGCTGTAACTACAGACTGAATTAGAAGTATGTGCTGAGTTGGCTATGGGAGAGCTTGTGTTGAGTCAGTGTCTGCAGATTCTTATTGATCAATAGAATATTTGAGGTCAATATTGTATACTCTCCCAGCAAAAACTACCCTGTCATAAATATCTGGATTTATTTTTGAGACCACTGCTCTTAAATAGTGTGGAAAAAGGAAAGAAATAAATTCAGAGAGTGTTCATACACAGCATCCCAATTTGTGGAAGTGTGAACGGTAGGTTTTTCTATAATGCTGTCTGTAATTACAAGACCAGCACTCCTAAATATCATTTAGCCTTTAAGCCCAAAAATTAAGAGATCTGTTTGGAGTTTGTTAAACCACGTTGAGTTCAAAGGTTGTAGAAGATTGTTCTCTGGTTTATCCATTTGGGCCTTAATTTTTTTCCTTCCAGTTTGTACTCAGTATCATTTAGTGTCACTGAGAATTTTGCGTGTGCATAAAATGCTCAACTGGTTCAATGACAGAAAGCAGTAGTGAAAACAGCTTTTAAATTTACATATTTTTATTTTTTAAAACACATTCTGTGCAATAGTTACTGATTTTTATTTTTGTATTTTTTTGTATCTCCCAACATACTTTGAATCCTCAGGCAGAACGTGCAGCTCTAATAGAGGAACTTGCTGCTCTTCGTCAGAAAAAAGAGCAGCTAAAGGCAGAAATAGACAAATACAGAGAATGTGATCCAGACGTCGTTGAGGAAATGCGTAAGTTTTGTATTTTTAAAGGGAGTTCTTGCACAAAAGGGTCTGCACTTCTCTGGCTTAAAATCTGGAATGCAGAGATAAGCGAAAGCGCAGCTTACACACTTTTTAAAGGTGTAAGCAATACAATACAGGTACACTGACCATTTCTTTTCATGTTCTGCTGTATCATGTAAGTGGGGGGTTTATTGATACTTACTCTGCCAGCAACTGAGCAGTTAACAAACAATCCTAAAATTGAAATACCGTCATGCGTTAGAATTAATATCAGGACCATTCTTTCTAGAACCATATTAATCGTATAACTTCTACATGTGCTGAACCCTAGAACGTATTTAGGAAGAGTAGTCTTTAGCTCCCATTTACCTTCAGTTCCACGCTAGCAAAACAGCTATCTTTCTACTTACTTTGTCTTGTGTATTTAAGATATAAACATTTCATTAGAGACACTTAATTGTCCCTTATACGTAAGTACCGTATTACACTGTTGACTTACTGTTTGTACTGTCTCTGACATGCTGGGTTTTGGTTGGCATTTCTAATTCTAATGGAATATGAGGAATGATGAGTGACATTAATACTTAATGCAGAATTGGGCACTGAAATGTACTTAATATGCTGATCCTTAGCATGAAAAATGAAAAGCATGCATGAAATTTTATTGAATTTTCTCTACTTCAACTATCATGTTTTATTTATTAGGCTCTTACATTGCTACCCAAATACCATTGCATATTCAGTTGCTGTAATGCCAAAATGCCATTACAGAGTGATGAGGAACAGGCAAAGACCTTTTCCTGGGAAGATACCTGACTGAATCTTTCTTTTTCCTTATTATTCTAACAAAGTCCACAGCTTCAGAAATGTGCCGAGAGAAACCCAGGAACATAAACAGAGTTGGCAGCACACCCCAAAATTGGACAGATATATTTTATTTTGAGGGGCTGTGACATTTTTTGTCAGCTGCGTTATCTCTCCCCGAGGATGTAATGGTATGCCAGGGAATAAGCAAGCTCGAGACCTGAGGTTAGTTACTGTGCTGTAAATCCCTCGCTGTGTGCTCTCCTGAGGACAAGTAACAGACATATTCCAGCTGATTCCAGCTGTAAAAATGAATGAGGTTAGGCAGATACTGACAGCAGAGGGATCTGCAGTGCCAGGTATTTTAACTGCTGAGATACCCTTATAGTCAGCATTGCACTGAACGATTTGAGGAGCCTCTCTTGAAGCAATCGTAGTGAGCACGTTCCTAAATACTAGGCACAAAGGAGCAAATCATAACTTGAATGCTAGGGCAAACTGCATTAGCTGGCAACACAGAGACTAATATCCTGAAAAGAGGGAAAGGGAAAGAAATGTAATTGTTAGTTACTTCAGCCATGCCTGTCTCTCTTTTGGGGTTGGTTTTTTTTTTGTGTTAAAGTGTGTGGAAGCTACATGTGAGCTGCTGCAATGGAGGGATGAACATTTAAGGCAGTTGGTGAGGATAGCATTGCTGAGCTACTTGTAGGGTTCCCAGGGGAATATGCAGTAGTGTTTTGAAAATAATTTGTCCCTGACCTTCGATTAAATAGTTTCTGCTTTGTTATATGCTTCATCAGTCATTGTTGCACTCACAGTGCACATTGTTGCTGGCAATGTATAAATGAATAAATGGTGATGTCAATTTTGGGGACTTAATGTCTTTGTCAAAGCTGAATGGAATTTTACAGGCTTTAAGGGAGAGGGAGAAAAAAAAATAAAAAAAGGTTGGGGGCATTTCTCTTGTTCCAGAGTGCAGGGAAGTGCAAAGGCAAAACAAGATGCAGGAAGTTACGGCTTTTGGTGTAAGAAGGCGATAAAGAATCTCAGGCAATGGAAAGTGTTCAACTAGACATTAAAGTTACTGCTGCTGTTTCACAGAATAACCTTATAATCAAAGTTACCGTTTCACAGATTTTAAAGCATTTTCAAATTGCACGAGTGATACAATTTTCTACTAGCTGTACAATTTAGATAATATAATCCTTGTGATTATTTTCAGTTAAATCACCTGAGGAGATTGCTAACTCTAAGTTACCTCATTTTAATTTTGAGACAGAAATCAGATTGCTGTTAATTGCAGTCTTTAAGAGTTGGGTTGTTCAATATAATACGTTTTGTAATGGGCAGTGGTCACTTTTCCCTCTTCTTCCTTAATGACTTCAACCTGTAAGGAAATCTTTCTAATGCTCAGTATAAAATTTTACTCTATTATATCCCCTTCTCATATTATAGAGCTGCTTTGAATTTTGTTGTGGTATTTTAGGGATGTATCAAATTGTCATCTGATTTCAGCGGCCTTCAAATTTGGTGAATGCTTTGCTATGCCTTTTTAATTTCTCTTTC